AGTGAAACCTTGAAAGCTCGGGAGATCAGGGTTGGTCTCACGAGGCTAGTTCCTGCTCGCGTTTCAATGAAAACCCCAAGTCTAATCCTTCCAAAGCTGAGTCAAACAAGAACTGTTCAATAGTTGTTGCCATCTTCCTTGTTGTGATTTCTCCAGCGTCGCGCAGCTTTGTCGTCCTGCCCTCAAAACCCCGCCGGCTTTGCATCCAAAAATTCGAAACATATCTCTGCGTTGTGATTGGCCAGCCCGTTCTAGGGCCTGGGGCATTGATCGAGGCTAGACCACTCACAGGCAGAAATGATTTTGGCCGCTGGCGGGGGGGCTAGTTTAGTACGCTACAAAAATCTGACTTTTTAACCAGAAGGAACAAACTTTTGGGAACCATTATGAAGAAAAAAACTGCTTTAAAAAACTGCTGGGAAAAAGGAACAGTTATGAAAGTGGAAGTAGGCAGGGAAGATGAACTTAGGTAGAAGGTGTTGAGATAGTAGATTTTGGTCAAGCAACACTACAAAAATGGGGGGTTTTAGTCTAGCCAAGAAAGCTATCTTTTTGTTTTGCACCAGTTTTTAAACTTCATCCACTGTTATGAGCTTTATGTAGTTCTATGTCAAGGAATCACACTTCTCTAATATACTTTTACATCACACAAATAAAATAAAAACATAATTTATGATTAAAAGTAGATCAATTGGTCAAATAACGGGAAGAAATGTGTTAAAGTGTTAGAGATAATTACACTGAACTCTAAAATGACATCTAAAAACTCTATTAAGCCTGGTCACAGTGGCTCCATCCGACTTTTAAATCTCTGATCCGGTTTTTTAATGTCAAACTGACTTATAAAGACGCTCCGATTACATCAGGTGAACAGGTTGGCTGACTTTTTTCACTTCTGTCAATGTCCAGATAGAAGATTTTGAAATATAGGCAGTACAATGGGAACTATGAAGGTTTAAAGAAAAGGAAAACACAGCAATAAACGATGTGTGACAAGTTGAGACTGATCTATAAATGTTTATATTTCATAAAGAGGGGAGAGTGATAAGCTGTGCTTTGGTGTTCTTGGGGGGTGTTGGCCTAGTGGTTACAGCAGTGTGCTTGTGCTCTGAGAAGGTTCAAGTACCCGGTTAGATCCCCACAGCATGCACCCTACATAGACCCCGGGCGCCACACAGTGGCGATGAGGGAAAGGGGGATGGGTTGAATGCAGAGGTAAATTTCTCCAGTGTGAGATCAATAAAGTTCAAATACTTATTATTATTCTGTTTCTCATTTTGTTTTTGTGAAGCTCAAAGGGAACCCTGTTTTACTTTATCCTTACTGCTAATTACAGATTATTCTAACGCAGCATTTTGTCACCATGGTATCTAGGAACTAAAAACAAAAACAGTGGAGAAAGACATAGAGCAGAGGAGAGGGGGGAGAAAGTTAGGGAATTGACTCCTTTATTTGCTCTGATCATCAATTTGCACTAATGTGAAAAGCAAAGTTGGTGAAAATTTGAGTCAAAATTTGTATTATTCATCAATTATCATGTCTTACTACATTGTACATTGTTCAGGAGGTTAACTCGAACAAGCAGCCTTTTGGTTTCTGCCCTTTTAAAGAAAAACTCAGCGATTGTTAACCCTGGTCCTCAGGTGACCTGCACATTTTGCTGCCACATACCTGGCTTACATAACACAAGGATTAACAGATTTCTTCAGTACTTCATGGTTGCTAAGAATCTCATGCAATCATTTGAATGTTCTGCAACAGAGAGATATTTAAATCATGCAGGACAGATATAGGCCTACTTGAGGAGCAGGTTTGAGAACTACTGGAATAACAGGATTGGCTGGATTAGGATTAGGTTTATCAGACAAATTATTATATATATTATAACATAAGTGAAAATGTTTTTCCTTTCTGTACTGAAGAGAAAAGTTCAGATCGTCCTCTCTGATGATACGGATTGTTTACAAGTCGACTCATTTCCAGAGGACGTAGAAATGTCTTGAAAGTTTAAAATGTGTTGCAGGAACAAAGCAAAATGTTACAGAAAGACTGAAATTCTGAGTTGTGATTTAGTTAATATACGGTATGCATATCTGTGATATTTTAGGAAAAAAATGCAGACCTAGCGGTCTTCAAGCATTCAAAAAGCACAGGAGAAAACCTCCAGACTCCCTGTTTACTGTCTGTTCACAATTAATGTGTTAAATAGGGAGATTCTAGTTTATTGATAGGAAAAAAAATCTGGTTATAGTTTTAACTTTTAACAGCTATGCTGTAGAACCTACAATCTATTTCCAAAAAAGTAAAAAAAAAAAAAAAAAAAAAAAAAAAAAAAAAACAATCCACTGGACTTTGTTTCCAAGTTTGAAGACATTTTGCTTCCCACCCAGGAAGCTTTTTCAATTCAAAATATCAGGAATAGTTATGAGTTCGAGGCTTTAAACAGTAGTCCAGCAAAGCCTTGTTTTTGCTTAGACAACATACTAATTTGTTAGCCTGCAATGCCCCATACCTGTCTATGTCTCTAAAAGGCAGCTCCAGACGAGAACACTTCTCTTCCAATTGTCCCATATTTATGCTGCGTGCTACCATTTTCCTAAAGTCCATATTTTACTGTGTTCTTCTCAAGTACATACTTGGCGAGGACACGAGTCTGGACTCGCGTTCTTGTGAATTGAGAAACGGCCCAAGACTCCTCCTTACGAGGCCTACAAATGCTTCCTTCCTTTTGCCCGATTTTAAAGGATGGGTCCGGTGTATCTTATCTATCCTTGGATATCCCAGGATTCATCGTGAATCTAACCAAGCCGGCTGCTACGTCATCAGAGGAAAAAGGCACTTGGCGCTGAACAGTGATGAATATTGGAAGTTTATAATATAATACAAGTATGTGAATAGCTCTGTCTGAAATTAATGAAAGTAGTTGTTTCAATTGTTATTAAGTCAGATATGTGGCGGTAATGTTTGATTTATCTAAAGGTTTTTATCTGTTACTGTGTAAATGAGTTTGGCTGTAATTTAATGACAGATTCTAATATATTTGCAGTGTGGGGACTATAAATCTGATAGGATTTTTTATTTTTTAATTGCTATTTTGCTAAATTTACTCAACTAAGTATTTTTTGTTGTTGAATATAAGAGATTTTGCAGATATATTTTTATACATACATTGTTTAGATTTATTTATACTTTCTACCCCTTTTATAGAATAGAATATTCCTTTATTCTCCCACAATGGGGAAATTCTGGTGTTTACAGCAGAAAAAATATAGAAAAAATTTGTCACACAAATGTGGACCTTAGAAAAATGTATAAGAATAACATAATAGTGAAGAGTTAAAATATAAACAATAAAATACTGTATTGCAAAGTGTTTTAAACATAAAAAAACTGTGCAGCTTGAGAATAAATAACCATTTTTGTGGAGTTATGCATGGACATCTTTACAGTAATGGATATTTGAAAATAGCAGCAACATCAGAGATGTGCAAAGTGACAGCAGCATGTTATTTAACTGACTAAGGTTTTTATCACTACATTTGGTTTTATTTTTTCCTGCTCCCGGTGGTTTTCACCTTTAATCCACTCTGTATTCTCATGAGTTTAGTCTTTGTTCACTTTACAATAACAAAAATGAAAAAAAAAAAATTAAAAAGAAACACTTTTGAAAGGTATTCATTTTTTTCCTGCTTTGTGTGTCAACTGTCACGTTTGCTAAGCGACAGCGCGTACGGCGGTAAAAGCCTGTGTGAATCCACAGCCAAATTGTTCCGGTCTCCTTATTTTCCCGGACTTCGGGGGACGCAGACGCAAAATCGAACGCACCCACAGAGGAACGCAAACCGACGTAACATCCGTCATCAAAACAACCAAAACCACAGAGGTAAAATAAGAAAAAAAGTGAACGGAGATGAACTTGTGTAGTTTGGAAGATTAAAACCTATAAGTTTAAACAAACCTAATAACAGAGTCCGTTTACCTGTTACAATGACAGTTTTCCCCTTCAGGCAAACGGAGCTTAAGCACCTCGCCCCTTTAAGCACACCGTAGAAAAGCAGAACATACACACAAACGACTACAGATGCCAAGTAAAGGAAAAGACTCATTTTTCCACTTTTAAGTTTCTAATCGTCTCCTTTTCTCAAATGTACTGTCCTGCCTCTTCTTCTTCCCTGTTTTTTAATGACAGCTCACATCCAGCTTGTTGCTTTACTGCCATCTTCTGGATTCCATTTTGATGTCTCATTTCTTAAATGGCTCTATGCACAACTCCACTACCTATTGAAATCAAGGCAGCTCTTTTGTTTCCTGTCTTTCATTACTGGATCAACTAATTATCTTATTATCTTATCATCTTATATCAGAGATCTGATTGTTCCTTATGTTCCTAATAGAGGACTTCGCTTTCAATCTCAAAAAAAAAAAAAAACTGTAAAAAAGAGAGATCATATCTCTCCTATCCTGGCTTCTCTTCATTGGCTTCCTGTTAAATCCAGAATATAATTTAAAATCCTTCTTCTCACATATAAAGCCTTAAATGGCCAAGCTCCATCTGATATCAGAGATCTGATTGTTCCTTATGTTTCTAACAGAGCACATCGCTCTC